ATGGTTCATAAAACTTAAAAACAAAGGCCAAAGTCGTGTTACTTCATTTTTGTAGACAACAGCCACAGGTTTTTCGGATCTGATTTCTCTAATTGTGATTGTGGCACAAAAATGATCAAAGGTGACACTAATGTTATGTAATGTTTGCCACATCCGTCCCAAGTGTAACTGATCTATAATGTGACGGTGATGGATGCTCAGGCCCAGAACTGATCAGAGACTGCGAGCCATCAGGGCTCTCCCATCCCTCTCATTTCATTAGGAATCACTCAGCACTTTAGAGCAACATTCAATTACGCTCCTGTGGTAATTAAATGTTCCTCAAATGAGTTCAGTTAAATCATCTCCGTTTTGGCTTCACTAGGCTTTTTACTGTCGAGAGCTCAAATGAACATTAAGTGCTCCATCCACTGGGAGAGCCCGCGCACCATCACACTGCATGACATTTATCCAGAGAATAACGGAGGATATTATTACAATAGGAGAGATTTGCATTCTACTTTTTTTTCTTTCTCAATGATGCGATGACTTGAACTGAAAGTTGTTCAGTTGCTGCTGGAAATCTTTGTGTGTCTTCATGCCAGCAAAAACAGAGCTCCTTTAACCCTTATGTTGTGTTAGGGTCTCCAGCGACCCGTTTCATGGTTATAATATGTAATAACTTCCATGTAGTTGATCTTATGAGAACGAGACTTTATGACATCCTCCACAACACGTGTACAAACTCAGAAAAACTATGTCTTACAATTTGGAAATTTCTGAAAGTATCGGCAGAAAAAAAGTTACAACTGTGGTGTTGACCTGACCAGACACCTTTTTTGCACACATGTACACGTACAAAATTGACCCGCTAACAACGGGCAGTGGTGCAGGTTCCTAACACAACATGAGGGTTAACTAATTATATTTATATGCGTGAATAAGACACAATTTTACTATATTGACGATAAATCTGGTCCAATAAAATATTTTGTGTAGAATAAAAGTAAAACTGGACAAAGGAAACAAATTGTGTAAAAGGTCCGCCTTCTACCTACACTGCACAGGCACATATAATATATGTAATAATTATGTTTTGTTGAAATAACTGTAAATCATTTAATGACCCTACAAGGCAAGAGTTATTTTTAAAAGGGGATTCATCAATATTCTCCAGGGGTACATGAAGAAAGGTCAGAAAATCTCTCATTAGGCCCAGAGCATGCGCGCTGCACATTAGTGTTTGTGTTGTTTTTGTCTGTGTGAGGTTTCGCTGAGTGACCAGTCATCACAGCTTCAATTACAAGTCATCATCACTAATACAGCAGGAATGAATCTTTTGTTATAATGAAATGCACAGGGTTAGGGTTGACCTAACGGAAAGGCAAAATTCCACCAACATAAAAACCTTCAAATGTCTTTATAACTATCTTATCTTAACAGGAGCAGCACAGGGCACGTATACTGCTCATCTGATTAATGCACATAAAGACAGTGCTGCGAAGGGTCATTGAGGATGTCCTCCTAATATTATATCTGCACAGTGGTTCCCCACTCCATAGACCTTACAAGCGACAGTAAACCAATACATTATGTTCATGTGAGTGTAATTATGGCTAATATGCAAGCCATCCTGCCAACACTTACAGCAATATTGACCAGCCCTTCTCACTTCATTTACATGTCGCCATTTAAAGGCCACAATATTAATTAGTCTCTGTATAAAAACCCCCAGTGAGTAATACACCAGTGTGTTAACATGTGGTGTTGTTGTACCAAAGCTGTACTATCATAAAAATAGTAATCCAAACAATGACCTGAATATAGATAATCACAAAGGGCTACTGAATATTTCTGAACAATGTCAAACAGAACATGGCAAAGGCGAGAATCTTACACCAGGCGAGCCTGGTGTAAGATTCTCTGCTTGGATCCATATTATAAAAATACAATGTTCGGATCAAAATGAAGATGAGAATGTGAGGATGAGATGTGCTCTCTGTGTGACCTTGTTGTGTCCCCTGTGCCCTGTGTCCCCAGGAACTTCTCCTTCTTCAGGAGGAGTTCATGACGAGGCTCGGCCGCATTCTGTTGGAAGGGTGACAATTGATTTGGCACATCCGTTCTAGACGTTTGGTCTCCAGTACAGTCAATGTTTTGTGACTTTTATATTATAGAATAATATTTAAAATATAATATTTTCTTTTAAAAATGAGCATGTAATACTATAAAAGTATTGCAGTGTATGTATTGTATAGTAGCCTTGGAATGGCAGTAATGTGATTGGATGATTGTATCATATGCTGTGACCTTGTGCCCCCTGTCACCATAGTGTCCTCACAATCAAACAAAAGCAACACAAACCACTGCCACCGCTGGCTTTTAGACGTTACACTCACCACTTCACTTGACTTCTTGTTCTTCTTGTTTTTCAGAGCAAATAAAACAAGTTAAACATGTTAAATGTGTTGGTTAGAGGTTTGCACAGTGGTCTTTTAAAACCCAATGTGAACGTCACCATGATTTACAATGCAACACAAACCTAGTGTTCCATACTCATATTTGTCAATGCAGACCACCTCACGGTCCCACCGTCATGTGGTTTGATAACTTGTCTTCTCTGCACCCCATTCTCTCCACATGCGTATCTCGGAGCTCTCCACATCATCAATAACTGCAGAGGCACAAAAGCTGCTAAATTAGGTCCACAAATGACTAATGAGCTCGTGCATTGTTTGTGTATTAGTCTCTCTCAGCTGTGTCCAGACCCCAGGGTGCGGCCCATGCCGTGCTTTTCCTGTGGACAGCTAAACCCAAACATGGATTTAACTATCCAAATTGGTTTGATAAACTGACTCCTTCAGGACTCTAGAACCAGCAACTTAGGGAATGATGCAGAGAACAATCTGGGCTGGAAGTGGTCAGCAAAACGACTGTCCAACAAATGTTCACTGACATTTACTCAAAAGGAGCAAAGAAGAATTCAGCAAACAGACACATGTTTTTGGGAGATGAAATGAACTGCGCACTCAGCGGTTTCTCTGTTTTGGATGAGCACGTGTAAATATGCAATACATGAATGAAACATTGGTTTTCTTTTTATGTAGCTGCAAACGCATTCAAACCTTTTTCTGATGTTATATTCTTCCACTGTCTGGTGGAACAGACAGAGGGCTGACCGGCTGACCTATCATTAAATAATCTAATAGCACACTGCAAAGATGAGATCATCTGAATGGCAGACGTATTATTATGGGATCTTGTCACTGGAAAGTATTTTGTCAGCCCCATGTCAACACGAAGCGAGTGCTCCAAAAATAATAAAAATAATGCTAATTATGACAACAATAATAATATAACTGATGTGTGATCACAATGACCGGTACAGTAAATACTAATGCATTTGAATAATTAATATTGACATCTTTGTACAATTTAATCTAATCTATTTATGATATATCAACAATCAATACAGATTGATGAAAACAATAAGGCCTGTATCCATTCTGTGAAGTGTCATGTTGTGCACAAAAGACACACAACACGTTTACCCGTGAAGCTATAAAAATAAGAGATGATTGCAGAGTGATAGTTCCTCTGAGTCAATGAAAGTGCAGACCTCTGAACTGGACTCAAGTGCAATGTGCTACAATGGTTTATATGACACTGCTCTGATAATAACACTTTATGGCATTTTGACGTCACATCGTTTTGGAAGGAACATTGGGTTCATTTGGCCTTACTATTTTCTACACTCTATTATACACCATTAACTGAGTGTTGAAACCTGGCGTAAAAACAGCAAGTTTTTTGCATGCTTGTAAAACAGAGTAGACCGTGTTTAAATATAGACTGATAACTGAATAGAAAGCGTGAAAAGGTGGCTTTGCAGCTTTTGTCCAAAAGGTGTCAGTGTTGAGTTTCATAGTGCTGCACATTTGAGCACGTCCTGCACACGACTCGTTTGGCCACAGTCTTGGTTTTATTATAAGGTTCAATATTGCGTCATTTTAGAATGATATCAATCAATTAAGTTGTAGATTAATCAAAAGCAGCAGGAGGATAGAAATTCCTTTTTGAAATCTCTCAACTGTAAAAGTATTAACACGTAAGCCTGTTGCATGTTGGTAAAACTGTAAGATGTTATATCGACTATATAATGTCTACTTTTGTTTTTATTTACTTGCTTTTCCTACGCTTCTTTTTTCACCACCTATAGACTAATTAGGCTAATCAAAAATGATAAGTGGCCTGATAATATATATATACTAGAATATAATTACTTATGATGAAACGAAAACGAAACAAAATGTCGAAATAAACGACGTTATTATTTTCTACTTTTCTGTCTTTGCAGAAAGACTTCCAGAGCGCAAGTCTCTTGTGCATCCACAATGGAAACAAATAAATGCACACATGAAGTAGAATGAATAAAAAATAAGTGTAAAAGTGAAGCCATGTCTCAGCTGACAGTCAGCTGACAGCCCCTGAGAGTTGAGAAAAGTTTGCCTTCTCTCCACTATCATATGGTAATTAGCTCCCAGCCTGCGACCCTATTGGCTCTTCGTCCGAGTCAATTTCCCACTTCCATCCTGACGTCAGGGCAGCTACAATGCTCTTAAACTCATCTGCTGTGTGATCCCTCGAAAAAATCGCCCCAGCAGAGAGCAGCTCATAGTAAGGCACTCGTTGCCTTCACTTTCAGCTTCTTCTGCCCCATCTCCGCGCCGCGCACTCATGAAGAGACGTCAAGTGTTACATGTTTGAAATCCAAAACCTCCGACTTTCACATGCTGAAAAAGGACTCCGCTGCTTACGCGCACGGCACCGCTGTGTCTGTGCACTACAAACTCTCCGTGGTGGCGTAGGGGGACGCTGAACACCTCGTTTTTCTTTTTTAATAAGATAAGACTTTTAAAGACAAACTGGCTCACGTTGTTCCCACCCAGACCAGTTTGACAGCTGCTCCTCAGCCCGCTTGGAGGACTGTCAGCAGCAAGAGGATGGCATCAGAACTGGCAATGAGCAACTCCGACCTGCCCACCAGTCCCTTGGCCATGGAATATGTTAATGACTTCGATCTGATGAAGTTTGAAGTGAAAAAGGAGCCGGTGGAGCCCGATCGCAACATCAGCCAGTGCAGTCGCCTTATCGCCGGGGGATCGTTGTCTTCCACCCCGATGAGCACGCCTTGCAGTTCGGTGCCCCCCTCTCCGAGCTTCTCTGCGCCCAGTCCGGGCTCGGGGAGCGAGCAGAAGACGCACATAGAGGACTTCTACTGGATGTCCGGTTATCAACAGCAGCTTAACCCCGAGGCACTGGGCTTCAGCCCTGAGGACGCAGTTGAGGCTCTCATCAACAGCAGTCACCAGCTCCAGTCTTTCGATGGCTATGCCAGGGGCCAGCAGTTCCCCGGAGCGGCCGGAGCGGGGGGCACCATGGCCGGCGAGGAGATGGGCTCTGCCGCGGCCGTGGTGTCAGCGGTGATCGCCGCGGCAGCTGCACAGAACGGCGGACAACATCACCATCATCACCACCACCACCACGCCGGGGCTCACCACCAGCAGCCCGGTGTCCAGTCCAGCAGCGCCTCGGGTCCGGGACACTCGCACATGCGCATCGATGACCGCTTCTCCGATGATCAGCTTGTCACTATGTCCGTGCGAGAGCTCAACCGGCAGTTACGGGGGGTCGCAAAAGAAGAAGTGATCCGGTTGAAACAGAAGAGAAGAACCCTAAAGAACAGGGGCTACGCACAGTCCTGCCGCTACAAGCGTGTGCAGCAGCGGCACGTCCTGGAGGGAGAGAAGACGCAGCTCCTACAGCAAGTGGAGCACCTCAAACAAGAGATCTCCAGGCTGGTCCGGGAGAGGGACGCGTACAAGGACAAGTACGAAAAACTCATCAGCACCGGCTTCAGAGAAAACGGCTCGAGCAGTGACAACAATCCCTCATCCCCGGAGTTTTTCATGTGAGTCTCCCTCTCAAGAATAAGTTAGAGAGGCCGCTAAAAGTTTCCTTAAGACTTATTTTTGATTTGACTCATATGCCCATTAGACCAAGAACTTATTCAACAATTTCTGACTTTGTTTTATACATTTTTCAATAGCGGCTGTAGGCACATATTTTTTATTTGTGAGAAAGCTATATCCTGCAATTTTGTCAAATTCTATGAAAGCAGCACGGACGTGGCAGTCCATTACACACGTCATATTTTTAATCAATGATACTTTTTAAAAGTTGGTCTAGTGTGTACCCAGTACACAGGATACTCAAGTTCATCAATTCTTATCATTTGAGTTCAGTCTGTCCAGCAGCATCCATCAAGATAAGTACTTTCTCTCTTTTTTTTTAATTTTTTACAAAGCTTTTTCTTTACTTTTTGTCTGCCAATCTGTGGAGGACCTGCCGTCACCCCATTTCATATGTTTGCTTGTTTTTGTGTTGAGCCGCAAAAAGACTGAAATGACTGACAGTGCGGACTGTGCCCTGCATGCTGGACATGTGTGGCTCTTTTTGTGCTTGAAGATGTCCTTTTGTAGGATGGCTCCAGCATGATATTCATTCTTCATTTATGGCGCTTCACTTTTTTGGGGCATTATCAAAAAAGTGACAAGACTTACCCCCACCCATGCACTGAACCCGGGGTCATTGGTGCCTGGAAGTGCGGCTGAGTGCGCGTGTGCGCGCTCTAAAGACTCACCGAGGGACACGAGCCCTTATGCCTTTGTCATTCATACCACTGTTCATTAGACTTAGCATCACTTTCAATTATCATGTAGGTTAAAACAGATCGAAGCCTGCGCTCAAATGATCAGAAAAGAGAAAATGTATTTTTTTATGAGTTCAGAGAATTGGCGAGGTTCCACCAGTGAATATAAGAGAGGACTTGAATAGTGCAAACACAGCGCTTTGCTGCATGTGCTTTAGACATGTGTGACGCGTCTCATTAGGATCGAAAATAGTTTTATTAAAAAATACATTTTGTAGTTGCGGCCTGGGTAAAAATGCCATGCTTTTGGACATGTCTATTCTGATTAAAATGAACCGACCTGATATGCACTAAAGTCGCCTGGAATCGCAAGGAAACACTTTAGAATAGTTTATGCCATTGTGTTGCGCATGAGGCGAACACTTTCATACTTTTATCTTATTGAACTGTAGAGCTGTCCTGTGCAAAGTTGATATTTGCAAAGCAATAATTATCTATTTAAATAATGTCTGGACATTGTTTGGCTCTTCGGGGATTGAAACCCTGCATGTACAAATGAGGAACCTCTATCCTCCTTAAAATATTAATTATGATAATGAATCGTCATCTTTATAATATATATTCTATATTTTGCTGTGCAAAATTATTTCATTCACTAACCATTATGTGATGTTTATATATGTGCTCGTTTTTCATCTCATTCAATTAAATGATATGCAATAAATGTATATGTTATTGTCTTCAATAAGTTTTGCACTTTTTTGACATGTCAAATCTGTGACGTCAAAAATACACCTGCACTTGGATGTAAGTCATCTGCGTTTGGAGCAGAGAAGTTTGAAATGTGACCATGGATCACGTCACTGTTTTACAACATTATTCATACATTTACTGTGTGTACTTTGTTCAAACTGTGGAAATTAGAGGCATCTTCACACACTACATCTACAATACTGCACCAAGACAACTCACATGACAGGATTTTTATGGAGAAGAAGCAGAATGTTTAGTGTAGACATTTACATCTGTTCATGTATTATCTGTCCTGCCTTTTACACGTTTAGCTTCTTGTCAGCAGTGTTTCGGTCCCACACTCCTGCACATCTGCGGTGGAAAAGCGTGCTCCGAACAATGTGAATTTACAACAAACAACAGAAAGAGAAAAAAAACCTTTGTTTCTAGTCATCCAAGAAATGCGTTTGTAGCTTAAACAGGAAATAAAAATGTAAAAAATGCCAACAGCTTCAGAGGACACTGACAACATGTTCCTGTGACTAAGTGTGCAGAGTGTGAGCGGAGGACACACAGGATGGCGACAATCTGATAAGAACCATGAAGAGGTTTAGGCTGACGGTTATAGGCCGTTATATTTGTTAGAAACATGATTGACACCGCACATTCAGCTACAGTCCCCGTTGTGATATCTGGGATGCCTGGAGGTGTGTGACGTCGCAGAGTGAGCCCTGATGTGAGCGGCCGAGACAATGGTGCGGCTCTGGCTGAATTAAATGATTTTGCAGATGATTAATAGTGGTGTGGCCTGGTGGCTCCTGCGATGTAGGGATGATAAATCGTGAGTGCAGTTCCATGCAGCTGTGCCAGAGCCGGGTCTAAGCATGCACAGTCCAGGCAATTTACAGCCAACACGCTTCCCTTCTGCCTCAATTTATTTAATTACCTCTATTTGAGCCCACCATTAGCACGCTTGAGTTTGGGGTTTAGCTGAAAGTATTTGCATCTGGAGAGGATTATAACATAACTGAATCAGAAATGTAACGGAGATAAAATAAGATAACATATAAGATAAGATCGAAGAGCCTTTATTCGTCCCACAGGGGGGAAATTTCAATGTTGCAGTGCATATACAGGACAGTAGTAAGAGCAGACAGGGAGCACACAAATAGTCATTATAATTAGCTGCTATGTTTCTTACCAATAGCTGTAAATAATTAGCACATTTAGTTATTCACAAATTCATCTTCAGGAGATTTCAGCAAGATGTGTATATACTGCAGGTACTTTTACTATCCTAATTCTTTTCTAATATCTTGTTTTGGACACACACTTTCAGGCACTTGACCCGTATTTTATTGCTTGAGTGTATATTTTATTTGTTGATTTGTCGGTCATGGATAAACAAGAGCATAAAAACAAAAAAAATACAGACATTTTTAACAACCCATAAGTTCAGGCTGAAGTTTTGCACTTACTTCGCATTACCATAATAACACAAAAACATTGGTTGTATTTTCTTTATACTTAAAAGTGTAAGATTGCAGCTTTTTCTGCTCAGTCCAAACGACGGGACATGTTCAGGAAATGTTTAAAAAATAACAAAACACTTTTAAAAAAAAACTTCCCTTTTTTCTGCAGTGGCGTTCTGTCATCTGTCTGTTCATATCATTGTAACTCCTTTGAAATTACAATGGCATTTGCATGAAGCTGTATTAAGTTTGCCAAGGCTCCTCCACCTTGTTTCTGTGGGATCAGCAGAGAGCATACATTATATAAGTGATAAAGCTATTGATCGTGTGATGATGAATCAGGGGGGAATGCTGACACCGGGCACTTGACAGCAACAAATGCAGCCCGCTGTTCACTCAAGCATTATACTTTGTCATAAGAGATCAGAGAAAGGAGTCGTTGGTTAGTGAGTGTTTCGTCTCTTAATTAAAAGTGCACTTATATGATGTTAATGGCATTGGCTAACTCATTTCATTTCAGCCAAATGTACACTTTTTGACTATTTCTAAAGTGAAATTGGGATTGACGCGCTTCAGTTCAGACAAACTTTTCTTATCCAGCAGACACAGCCTATACTTGTGTTCTCGCATAAACTAGAACTAGCAGCATTGAACCTAACAACAACATATACAGTATAACATTTGAGAATTTGAAAGTTTTATGTATAAAAATTTGGAAAGAAAAAATAAATATAAATCACCATATTTTAAATTCTTTCCATAGAGAGCATTGAGGGGAAAATGCAGTATGTGTGTGTGTGTGTGGTGTGTGTGTGGGTGTGTTGGTGTAATGTCACGTTCGCACCATCCCCATAAGTGAAGAACATCTTAATCTCACACCTTCGTCAGTGAGTGTACCCTTTCAGTTTGGGGTTACTGGCACCATCATGCGAAACACAAAGCAGAAAAGGATCAAACGTGACTTGGTTTTAGCAGTTTTAAATGCTAAAAAGAATTTCAAACGCTTTATGAATGGTAATCAAACTACACATTTTTAAATATACTCACTATACACTATATACGGATTTATTTTGCAAGTAAATGTTGTTGCTCAGAGTGACAGAGCGCTATATTGACGGTAATAATGAGCTGCTGTGGGCCTGCAGAGATGTTTCTATCACGCTGTAAATAGAGCAACATCATGACTGTAGCTGCCACATACACCCGCCATGAACGGTAGGAACCATATGGAAAAGTCATGAGGGAGTTCAGTCAAGGATCGATACACACACACACACACACACACACAACATTATGAATTTCTATGATTGAACTGTTAGTTTTGTTTATTATGTATGATTTAGTGACATCTAGTGGGGGATGATCAGTTCACTAATGAAATGTGTTCTCTATTCAAGTCGCAGTGTTGAAAAATGCGACGATTAGGTGACTGTTTCATCTGTTTTATAATCTGCTCCTGCTCCTTTTAGGTCATCGAGAAAATTCCTCCACCTGTGATCCAAGTCACCGCCTCGGCACATTCTGAGGTAAACAGCCGTATTCATTTTCATAAGTCATAGTTATAGGGAATTCATTCATAACTTCTGTTCAGCTCAGTGTTCACACCTGGTTTACGGGAAAACAAATTGATATTTTAGCTGCTTAGGTTCTTATCAAGCTGCTAAAAGTCAAAAAATGAAAGAAAAAATAATCTTGTCTCATGTCTCTGCTGAAAAATGCATACAAAAGTGCTTTTCGATTTGACTTTCTCCCTCTCACCGCTGGGAAATTCGACGATGAGGAAGCAAAACAAGATATCTTTATGGTGTGATCCATTCATTCACTTCACTCCATTTAGCCTTAACCTTTTTAGTTGCGTTTTCCTTTGTGGCTTTTGGCGTCGCAACTCCAAGGAGATAAACTCAAGCGTCTATTGTTTGAATCTCTAACTGTGATAGCGCTGCTGATAGTCCCCTGCACTTGTGTCAGATTGAACCACAGCGTGCATGGGTGCGTCTGTATGTGATGTTATTTACCTGATGCTGTCTGCGTGGAGCATATAGGATCAGAGTCTGGCTGAGCTCCAGCTACACTTAACTTCAGGAGGGGCGCAGGACAAGAGGCCTCAGGGATGACAAGGACAAATCTTCTTTAGATGAAGTGTTTTAAGTGCTTTGATTCCCCTCTCGCTTTGTCACCGTGAATTAGATGCCCTCTCCTCACTGCACGGGGCTCTGGAATATAAACCACAAAGAACACATGAATGAAAGTGAAAAACCGTGATGGGATCTGTCTTGTTCTCGTAAATTGTGTACTGCAACATTGAGGCTGCGTGCTGACAAGTCGACCGGTGCGCGCTGGGACAACAATTCTCGCAATAGCCGGAGTGCCGTCTTTATTGTATGCAAATCCATTAATAGGAAGGGAGGGGGAGGGTAGGTGTGGCCAATGAACAGTCTGGCCACGTAGCTCCAGGAAGACAAGGCTGAGTGATGGAGACTGAGAGCCAGGTCCCAGCGTCCTTGCCTGGGGGAAGCGAGTCCGGACCGGGGTCTGCACGGGCTGTCTCTGCACCACCGTGCTCTGGCTGTGACTCCAGCTTCATCAAACTGCTGTACAGGGATGAGCATAAGGCCAGGAATTGATACAAAAAAAGAAATTATGCAAAAACTAGCTGCTCAAGCCAAGCATGACAACAAAAAGTTTCACGTTCATATTTTGACTTGACACCCATATTAAAAATCACAGTAGAGACATGTTGATTTCCACAGGTTGTGATTGGGAAGGTGAGCAGTGGGGTTCAGGGCTCTGAATGTGCTGAAAAAGATCAAGTGCCAGGTGTGGGAAAGAAGGCTCTGAGAAATAGAGAGTAAATATAGAGCAAGGTGGATGTATAAAAATGCATGTATACGGAGAAGAGTGCAGTGTTTGTTTATTTGGTCTATTTTTAAGATATGAACAGTTGTCAAGGCTGGGGCATTTGTGCACATGTAACTCAAAATGTGTTCAATTCTTGGAAAATAAGTTTATGATTTTGAACAAGATCGAGCAATTATCCTGTTTATAGTCAATGAGGATTATTTAGTTTTGTGTCACCCCTTGGAGTATCTATGCAAAAATTAAACATAAATTATGCTTTGTTTTATTCATGAAAGCAAAACTCAAAATATAAAACTATGGATAACATCTATACATTTTGCATCATCATGTTGTTTATGATCAATGTCAATAACACACCCTAAACAAACAATTTATTTCAAATCATCTTAAAGCGGATTCCATCACTTTTTTGTTTCATAAATCCATTTTGTTTGTCCCGACAGAAGTCTTGTTTAAGTAAAATTTGCTCAACTTTTTTGATCGGAACACTAGAAAACCATAAGAAACCATTGTATGATTTACATACTGACAGCTGATTGGCTGAGCGAGGGCTGTCTAAAAAACCTGATCAAAAGATGTGGCATGTGAAAACTAGAGATAGAACCAAAGAGTATTGAGAGCTATTAACTATGTACATGGATTATAACACATTGTTATTATATTGTAGTTTCAAAGTTAGGCACCCCAGCTTTAATACATAAAACAACAGAGAGAGAGACGTAGGAAGGGCATCCGGGGCCCGGTTCACTCACGCTGAAGCAGTTTCACTTATGTTATCTCGTAACAGCTGCAGGTGTTTGGAGATTTTCGCCTTTATTTGGTGCCACTTTGACAGACTCCGCTGCTCTCTGCCCCATCTATTTGCGGTGCCAGGATGTTGGTGGCGGGCGCAGAGGGCAGATGGAACTGATCCGCTGACCTGTCGTGTGGAGGGGAAATGACTGGAACAGGGAAGAGGTGAAGAGGCCGCAGAGACGCAGAACACCAGAATAAAAACAAGCCTACACTCCATATAGGCCAAAAGTCAAAGGATGATTTATTCAGAGGTGCGTGGTCGGCCCCTCCCTCTCACCCCAGCCCGGGCTGCCTGTGATCGTGTGTGCTCCGTCTGCCTCTCAGAAAGGACTAAGAAACAAGAGACTGCTCTGAGGAGGCCACTATATTTAGCCCAAGGGACCTAAGACACCCTGAGCTTACTTTGAAACATACTGTATATAAAGAAGGAAACAGACTCAACTTTGTTTCTAAACTCAAAAAATCCAGGTCACGTAAAACACACGTATGATAATGATAAAACGTTAATGTAAGCATTTCATGTATATCACACAAGGCATCACAAGTGTGCAGGTCACAACATTAGTTAGAACATTTCAAAGAGGGTCTGTCAAAAGGGTATTCTGCATAAAATATTCAAGTCCATTCAAAGAAACGTATTCTTGTTTAGCCCTATAATCACAAATCACAGTCGTTATCTCGGAGGACTTAACAAAACCGTTGAATTCGCCAACACAGATCAGAGAATCAAACTGTTCAAACACAAGAAACGCAATGATTTAAAAAACACATAGAGCCATTGGTCCATAAGGGGCAGACGACCAATGTCCACAAATGTTGATAAATGTCCGTAATGTTGTTGAATGTTGAGTGTCCTGGATCATCACCACTAGTTAGACCCAAGGTGCCAATAGACCCTCCCACATTTATTAAAAGCGAAAAATTTTATACCACCCAACAAAACTTTAAAGTGGCTGAATTGGGGTTAAAAGATTGAAGAGTGATTTTTGTGAAGTAATACATTTAGTCATATTGGGCAGCGCTCCACTTTACTAATTATTTTCCTATGGCAGGAGTCTCAGCATGGAGCCCCTCTTTCGCTCCGAGAGGCTCCGCGTTAAGTGCTTAGTCAGCCCCGCTCTGCTGAGATACTGTTGTCGAATCTCCAGTGAAGTGTCACGAGGCCGGACTGATGAATACACGGTCCGGGCCGGGAGGCAGGGGACGCCCACGATGGCAGAGCAGGCTGCACAAGCTCAGCGTGCATGAACAATAGATCAGGTATTGTAACAAAAACAAACAAGTTTATGCAATTCCCACTGGTTGCATTTCTGCTGCTTTCCTTGTGGCATTTGGGCGTTTTGTTCCCAGAGCTTTGAGAGGACCACCTTCATTGCACGACTACTGCCCAGTCTTCTTGTCAGAATGTACAATATAGATCCAGATGTATTACTGTACTTTACGTAGTCACTTGTAATGTAATAGTAATTAATTTCAGTCAGTCAAATTGTCAGTTACAGAATATATTTCAACAGAAGATGCAACAACATTACTTCGCTGACTGACTTGTCCAGATGTATACACACAACTATATACTACACTCACTAGAATACTCTGCATTTTATACTTGCTCCTTATTATGCTAAAGCCAGGGGGTTTTGTACTCAAGTCTTGCCTTTTCATCATGCTAAAGTTAGAGAGTTTATTCTATTTTAATTCAGTATGAAGTTATTATTAATTTATCTTGTGCTGTGTGCTCCTCATTCCTACTTCTTTTTGTAACTTGTGATGCATTACTGAAATTTCCCCATTGTGGGACGAATAAAGGATCTCTTAATCTCACGATATCATTTTGTATACAAAGCCTGACAGAATATCGTCCTTATCAAGACATCCAAAGTGCAAACAATGATCATTTTGATAATTGATCAATATAGCCATTACTGTACATTATTTGATTTTAATACATCTTTTTGACTCATTTTGAGGGAGAAAAGGTTGAAGTGACAATTCAATATTTCAAAACCTTTTCATCATAAAATTGAGACATTGTGGCATTTCTTGTTTTTTTTTGTACTTGCAAATACTACCATTTGAGTCTTAAATTCACATGTCACAGCACGTGTTGGAGTCTGTAAACAGAGGAGTTAACAATAAATTGATGACTAATAGTTGTTGATTGTCTGGAGTAGTGGTTGATCGTCTCCATTAGCCAGGATTAATCGTCCTCTAGCTCTAGTAACAACCTCCTTGTGATAATACACTTCTCAAATGTGGTAATACTATTCAAACAATTTAACAGTGCAATCATACGCACACACAAATAGACACGAATTATGTGCATATTGGACGGCATTGTCGTTATTGATGTTTCCCACACACACGCACACAGACACACACACTCGCACGCACACACACACGCACACACACGCACATGCCCATACACCCACAGGCCCTTCCCTCCCTATAGCCCGTATACGCTGCACCTGCTGCCTCTGTACGTCCCAACTTCTCCTTATACACTCCTCCTCTGCTCCTGCGCCTATTCTCCCCCTCGTTAGCTTGATGAATGGCTTCACTGCAGGGAAAGTGCTGATTTTCATGCCTCTGTCTGATTTCTGCTGGCTGTTATTAATTTCAAACACTCAGAGAAAAGCAAGTGAGTCAATAAATAAGGAAATGAACACACTTCATCCTGCCACACAGCGCCTCTCGCAGCGTTCAGTCAGACACCGTTTAGTTTCAGTGTTAAAGGCCAGAAAATAAAAGCCAGATTTAGCCTTATGTTTTGGATTGCAAAACTAGGGCCCTTTTCTACTGTGTGATATAAAGAGACTAATATATTACTTGGTGCAGAAATCAAACTAAATAAATACCTTCAGTCAAACATGGATATTGCGATAAGTGGCGTTGTGAAGCTCTGTATTTAAAGAAGAAATATTATCTTTTAAATTAAACAGGATAATGAGATCATTTACTTTTAGATTGTGAAACAATATCTTCAGTAGAAAATAGGTGAAATAAGTATGAAGGGTAAACAATCTATCAACCTGCACTATCCCTATGTCACCAGTGGGTGGGGTAGAATTTGTTTAGTGTTTTTCAAATGTGAAATTTACCAGCTGGTGGTATTAATGGTTATAAATAATAGAAGTCCACTTGAGGATTGCCGAAAATGTATGTACAATTCTTTTGTTCTAAAAGACAGAAAATGTAGTGATGGTGGTACAAAGACATCAAACTACTACAGGACTAAAACAGGAGTCTTTAGGCAGAAGGGGTAGAGTCACATGTTTTTGCCGGATTTTTGCAAAAAAACAGAAACAACAAAAAAAACTTCCAAAACGTGTATTGTACATAACAACTAAATATACGTAATATAAGTGTGGATGTCGAACGTGGAAAATAACAAATGGAAATATACACACATTTACACATTCATTCCGTCACACCCACCTGCAAAGAATACAAGGGTAAATATTGCATAAAAAATAAAAGCAGATGCTGTTTATCAGGTTTGTCATTTTAATGCAGTTACTCACAGCAAAAAATAATACTAATTAAACAAGAGAGTTCTATATTTATAACCAAAGCTAGAAAGGCAGAGCAACAGTGAAACTCAAAGCGAAAATGCCTGAACATAGAGTCACCTATTCCTTTCAGCATAACGTGATTTCATGAATATTATTCTAAATAGTCTAGAGATTATGCTGACCTAAAATCCCCCAGTCTGCGCTATCAAATAACGCAATATAGTCAAACATAAACACCTTGAGAATGATGTGCCAAAAATTAGACATTTACAACTTTGTCATTAAATACGTTCCCATATGGTCAAGAGCAGACTTTCATACATATTCATAGATAATGGAAAAAAGGCAAGTTTTCCCAATGTCATTCATTTGTCTTTTCTTGTAACTTCTCTTCTTCACTTACTTGAAGAATATCAGAGGGTATTATGGAGCCGATGGTGGAACAGAGCAGTGGCTGCAGAGGTGGTGGTGGAGCCGGCCTGTCTGCTCCGTGCTCCTGTGAGCGCAGACATAACTATTGTGTTTACAAGGCTGCTTTGCTCTTACTGTTAAATGATTCCATTGTGGGGTTTACTCGGCGAGGCGGGTGGAGGGGGGGAATAATCGCCAAGTCCCATAGCTTTGGTTAACCCGTTTGTGGAATGCTCTTTGTATTTTGTAATTACAGAGTTACACTACTGTCACCCTAGAAAATAACACTTCCTCAGACACCAGAGTTTGGGACGTGCGGTTAGGGAGGGTTGGCGTCTTCATGCAATAGTAGGAAAGTCATTGCAGCTGAGGACCTGAGAACTGGACACATGGTCACCGGGTCGAGAGCTAGACACACATATAAAGCTGATTTATTTTGTATATTTTGTGTGCCCCCAGTGTGCTCTTACTACTGTCCTGTATGCGCGCCACAACATCGAAATTTCCCCACTGTGAGACGAATAAAGGAACGCTTATCTTATGCTATCTTTTATGTTTTGTCTGTTTAGCTAACATAAAGAGTCATGTAAAAGTAAGATTGAGTGAACGACATTGGGGTTAACTGAGTTGACTTTATACTACTAAGGCAAGGGAAGTTTTTTTGTATAGCACAATTCATACACAAGGCAACTCAAAGTGCTGAACAAAACAAGATAGAGACATTAAAGGCATTAAAATCATATATAATCACAGTACATTAAAAATTAAAAACATATATTAAATCCCTCAGTTGTATGCACAGCTAAAAATAACTGTTTTTAACCTGGATTTGAACATTGTCTGTTTTATATTTGTTTTATATTTTCAAGAAGACTGTTCCAGATTTTAGCTGCGTGAATCTGAAATGCAGACTTCCTAGTAGAAAACATGTTATATTTTGCATACTTGAAAGAAAGAGCAAACAGAGACTTATAGGGACGATAAGTAAGACAAACCAGGTCAGAAAGAGACGCCATGGTTTAGCTTAATTTCCTGTTTTATTTTGTAATTTGTCTCTTTGAGTTGTACTTCCTGTTTCCTGTTTACCCCATGTGTCTCACCTGTGCGTCGTTAGCAAGCCCCGGCGATCCAAGATGGCGCCCTATTCAAATGAATGGTTGTGCTCACTGGCGCTTTGTGACGGCATGGGGGCTGAAAGATTAGCGGAAGTTGCCCGAAACTCGCAAAGATCTATGGGAAACTCGCAAAGATCTATGGGAAACTCGCAAAGATCTATGGGAAACTCGCCTGTATTTCGGCATCGTCTGGTCCTCCCGGTTCTGCGCAGTGGTTGATCTCCCATAATGCGTTGCGCCAAACACGCGTGTGTGGGTCTCACACCAGGTCTCACGCACGTGCACAGAGGGGCTCGGCCGCGCTCCGACCAATCAGAGCAGTTCATCAGAGCGGGAGTTAGAGCGAGAGCCAGACGAGCAGAGTTTGTGGCACTAAAGTGTGGATTTAAACAAAACCGAAGGATTTAAGAAGAAAAAAAGTTCAGGATGACAAGGGACACTAAAATCCCCACAAAATCCTATCTTTATTAAAGCTGTAGGTTCTCTGTCAGCTGAGGTCGAGCTGTTTTAATATGCATTGAGTTTTATGGGGAAAATTTCTGGGTAGCCCACGTGAATTTAGTCTGGTTCAGTCTGCAGTACCGCGAGAATCCCCTGAGCACGTGAGTTATTCAGCTACAAGCTAGTAATACCCTATCCAGTTAATATAATAGATCCATGGTCGTTAGTTGTTAGTCTTATATTTAAACCCTGTGTGTTTCACCATTGTCATTCCCACGTGAGTTTTTGTTCTTATTTTGCATCTTTGGTGTCATTTCTTTCTTGATTTTTATTTTATTTTTTAGTACATTTTATTAAATCCCTCATTTTTGCAGTTTTGCGTTTTATTTTGTTTTTCCACATGACAAGAGCCTAGTAAACTAAAAGGCTCAAGTGGGTTAACCTACTCGCGGGCAGTGAAGTGATACGGGAGGCGGCTGCATCCCGTCACATACACTGATATTGAGCCCAATCATAAAATACTATAATTATTTGCTTTCAAAATCAATGCTTTGCCCTCCAATAGTTTAGTAATGATATTCAAAAGATTAAAAAAAGATGACAGGTATGTATGGACGTGTGTGTGGTGCCAAGGACGATAAAATGTTCACGTTATTCATTATTATTACGTTTGATTTTTGTGTGGATCCCTGACTATATGAGGATGGTGGTCATTACCCTCAGTATATGATCTTTACAAAGTGGTACATCTTGTGGAGAAGCCTTTGAA